AAAAATTGTTTAAAAAAAAAAAAAAAAAAAACAAAGTGACAATAAATGACATTCATTAAAAAAGAAAAATGTCTAATACAACAATTTGTACTATATTTTGTTGAAGTTTGCGATCAATAAAATAAAAATTTTTTAACAAATTTAATTTCCTTATTAATTGCCTTTATTGATAAATTCTAAATTATAATTCATAAACAAAATTACCACATTATCATATTTCAATTCCAGTTCATATTATCATTTCTACTTTTTCATTATCTTTTTTTTCGTTTTTTTTTTTTTTTTTTTACTAGCAACATTTATTACACAAATTGCTGAAAATTCTTTTTTTCTCAAAATTAATTAAAATTTTTAAATGCATTAACACAATGATTTCATTATCATTATGCATTAATGATTGAAACATTTACTTGTTTTTTTTCAATAATGAAATACGACAAAACAAATTTATTTCACTTCATTGCACAATTATTATTTAAAATACAATCATCATTAATTGATATTAATTAATTGGGAATTATTTCTCATGTAAATGAATTATTCGTTTGAATTAATTAATTGAAAGGTGCATCGCATTATTATCATATCATATCATTGCATTTCATTTCATCCTTGCCACTTTAAATTCTTTTCCCGTACCATAACAAGTATTCTCTCGGTTTGATTGTAAAAGTTCAATCAATTTCAAATTTAACTTCATCATTCGTTTTCCACAGCAATCGGACATTTTAATGGGTCATCATCATATATCAAAATAATTCAAATAATGATTCTTCTTAAAAACGTTCTAATCATTTAATCAAATACATTCATTCACATATGCATCAACTGTTGCTGTTTCCATTCCTTCTTTCTTATCAAATTTTTTAACAAATAATTTCTTTTCATAAGAAGATAAAAAAAAATTTTTCCTTTTTCAACTACTAAAATATTATTACAAATTAGTATTATTTGAAGGTAATAAGTTTGGACAATATCTTAAAAAATTATTTTTTTTTTTCTGAGCCTTGACCTTATTACCACATTTTCTGACTTAAATTATCATCTTTTAATCAAATACATTCATAAATATGTCAAATAATAATAATAATAATAATGATAATAATAATAATAATAATAATAATAATAATAATAATAATAATAATAATAATAATAATAA